GAGGAGGAGGAGGAGGAGGAGGAGGAGGAGGAGAGGACAGTGGCACGCGGGCGCGCCAAGAGAGAGGCGCGCGCACCCATTCACCGCCACGCTCCGCGCCTTCGGCCAGTTCTCGCAGCTTGCTCGCGCCAAGCGCGCGGGAACGCGCGCGCAGGCTCGCTCAAGAGAAAAGCAGGGGGAGCGACAACAACGACTGAGAGGCCTCTGACCTGAAACCCAGGCACGGACGGTGGCAAGGTGGGCCCCAAGGCCGCGAGACCTGCCTGGCACGGGAACGGAGAGCGCAACCTACCGTGCGATGGCGCAAGATCGGTGGTTCTTCCTCCTCGTTCCCGGTTCCCCTCGCCTGGTCGCATCCTTGGGGAATTTGGGGCCCTCCTGGTCCCTCTTGGAGACTCTCGGGCTGTATTCGGGCCCTGTTGAGCCGTCTTGATCCGAATGTCTGCTTCAGACAAGATGGCCATTCAGACCGTGTGAATGTTTCATCGGCATGGTCATTTTGAGCCGCCTGGCCGCGCTGACGTCTTTGGCCGTTGTAACCCGCCCTGCAGTTATTACCCGCCTGGTCGTTTCAACCCGCCTGGCCATCATAGCCCGCCTGGCCGTTTGGACTCGCCTGGCGGTTTTCAATCGCTTGCAATTTTCACCCGCCGAGCCGTTTGAACACGCCTAGTCGGCTTAACCCGCCTGACCATCTCAACTCGCCTGGCCTTTTTGACCTGCCTGGCCTTTTTGACTCGCCTGGCCGTCTTCAATCGCTTGGCCGCTTTCACTCGCCTGGCCGTTTGAACCCGCTTGGTCGTGTTAGCCCGCCTGGTCCTTTTGATCCAGGGGACCGTTTTGACTCGCCTGGCCGTCTAACCCGTCTAGCCGCGCTGACATCCTTGGCCGTGTAGGCCCGCCTGGCCGTTTCAACCCGCCTGGCCGTGGTAACCCGCCTAGCCTTTGTAACCCGCCTGGCCGTTCTAGCCAGCCTCGCCGTTTCAACCGGCCTTGCCGTTTTGACCTGCCTGGCCGTTTAACTCGGTTCAGCCAGCCTATCTGTTTGAAGCCGCCTGGCCCCTTGAACCGCCTGACCGTTTTGACTCGCCTGGCCGCCTTGATCTGTTTGGCCCGTTTAACCCGCCTGGCCGTTTCAACCCGCCTGACCCTTTTGACCTGCCTGGCAATGTTGACTCGCGTTGTGTATGCAGGAGACGCGCCGGCCGAATTCCGACCATTATGGTACCGAGGACGGCTACCTGGTGGTGCTGTCGGGCGCGGCGGGGACCAACCCTGAGTTCGCGTAGGATTTGTGATATCCCCAGCTTCTCGCCCACGAGTTTGCGGGCAACCGCATCGCATCGATCAAGGTCCGCACGGGCTCTGGCCGGCTTACGTTATGCACTGTGTACGCACCACACAATGAGAGGCCGACAGATGAGAAGTTTGATTTTTACGATCGCCTGCAGCGCCACATGGGGGCACTCCCCGGGTATGGTCCCCGTCTGGTGTTCGGTGACTGGAATGCCAGACTCGGCAAGCGACGTGCCGGTGAAGATGGCATCATGGGTGAGCATTCGTTCGGGCGCGAGGTGGTGAGGAAGACAGAGATTCCCAACCGCGATCTGTTCATGGAATCTTGCACGGATTTCGAATTCCTTGTTGCAAATACTGTCTTCGATTTGCCCCCACAGTTCAAAGCGACATATCATGAACCATTTGTCCGGCCTGGGAGTCCGATCACGGCCAATGGTTACAGCGCTCTTGATCCATTACTGGTGCCGGCAGATCTGGAGAGGGACTTGATGGACATTCGCAGCGACACGAACACTACTCTCGCCTCTCATCATTTCCCCGTGGTGGCAAATTTCATGGCCGGCGACACAACGGAGCAGCAGGAACAGGCGGCGCAAAGGCGCAAGCGGAAAGACTGGAGCAAACTCCGCTCGCCCTCCGCACGAAGATCTTTATCACTGGAAGTGTCATGCGTGGCAGGGTCGTTGCCTCAAGACGGCTCTGTGTCTCAACGGTGGCATTCCATTTCGCACTCGGTGATGGCAGCTGCTGACGCGATCTTGCTGGACGTGGAGCGCAAGCCGAATAAGGCATGGATCTCTCAGCGCACTTTGTCTCTGCTAGACGAGAGGAGGCAGGCTCGCGCAGACGGAGCTTGGGAAGCAGAAACGAGGCTTAGGAGACCAGTCAAACAGTCAGCTATACAAGACTGGGCACGGTGGTTAGAAGATCTGACTGCTTCTGGAGATTGGGGCTGCATAAAAAAAACGCAAGGCGAGACCTCAAGGCTGGCTGCACAACAGCCAAGGGACCCCCGTCGCCACAGACGAGCGTGCAGAGACTTTCGCACAACATCTGGATACGATACAATGGCACGTGCGCTACGTCACGCTCACGCCGGGCACAAATGACGTTATCTACTCTGGCCTTAACGTCAAATTGGATTCGTTCACAGAGGCGGAGCTCCGGACAGCTTTACGAAAAATGCATTATGGGAAAGCGTGCAAGCACGACGACATCCCGGCGGAGGTGTACAAGGCGCTGGCGGACTGAGCATGGGCAGTTGCAATGGGTGTTGGACATCTGCAATGCAGCGTGGGCCAACAAGGAACTCCCAGACGCATGGTGCACATCTGCAGTGCCACTATTATATAAGAAAGGGGACCCAGCAAATTGCGACAACTACCGCCCGTTGTCTTTACAATGCATCGCCATGAAGCTCTTCTCTGCCATGCTGAAGCAAAGGCTGCTGGACGCTGGCGTCGACGAGAGGCTGTGGCCTACCCAGCTCGGCCTCAGGGCGGGCTGCAGCACGGAACACGCCGTACACGCAGCGAGGCGGCACATCGAATTGGCACGAGCTAAGAAGAATGGATCAGTCACTCTGGTTGCGCTCGACTGGAAGAAGGCATTCGACAGCATCCACACCAACAGTCTTTTGGACGCGCTCAGGCGGGTGGGGATCCCGATCGGATGCCGCGACAGGATACGCGTGATGATGACGGAGAGGATGTTCGTCGTGAACGAATGTGGCAACGATTCCGCACCAAGACCGCAGCTTTCAGGCATATCGCAGGGTTGCACGCTCAGCCCACTGCTTTTATCATCGTCATGACAGTGCTAGTACATGATGCTGTTGGGCTGCTGGAAGGGGTTACGAAAGATGCGTACGCCAACGGGGACATGTGTGATTGCAACTACGCGGACGACACTCTGCTGATCGGAACGGACGACGCGTACTTACAAGAATATCTGAAGGCAGTCGCAGAAGCAGGGCGCCGGTATGGCATGGAGTTGCATTGGGACGAATTCCAAGTCCTTGCTGTGAAGGCCAGCGGTGACATTCGAGCTCCAAATGGCACCGTTCTTGAACATGTCGACCGGCTTCAGTATTTGGGCGCGCACTTGTCCTCGGACGCTGACGTTGGGCCGGAGCTGGGGCGCAAGATCGGCGAGGCAAAACGGATATGTTCGTCGCTCAGTAACTTGTGGTCCCATTCATCTTTGACATGGTGTCGCAAAATACGTATCTTTGCTTCTGTGGTGGAGTCTAAGATGCTTTACGGACTGGCTGGCACCGTGATGAACAAAGCCCAGATACGCCGTCTGGACGGCTTCCAAAACAGGTGCATCAGGCAGATCATCGGCGTGCGCCCGTCGTGGCTGTCGAGGGTATCAAATGCGGAGGTACTGAGCCGCGCCGGGCACACGGCAGTTGGCACCCAATGGTTGTATAGGCAGATGCTTCTGTTCGGCGACGTGCTGCGCGCAAGTGAGAACAGCCTGCTGCGTCGCTGCACGTTCGCACCGAATTCTCTTACGCCGAGGACAGCGGTCGGCGTGAGGCGCGTCGGCGCGCCGAGCAGAGAGTTTGTCCCAACGATGTCGAAGCATGCCGCCCGCATATTCGGTGATGCTCACGCGGCGTCGGCAGCAGCTCAGTCTGGACCCGCTCGGAAGCACACGCTGCGCCGTCACATTCTCACAGCTTAAATTAGGACAACTTTTTGTGACATGTGTCGCGTTTGTAGCATACTGTTCCTGTCCTGTCCACGCACCGCTTGGTGTACGATTCGCTTGCTTGCTTGGCCGTTTTAGATCGCTTGGTCGTTTCGACACGCCTGGCCGTTTGAACCCGCCTGGTCGTTTTGACCCGCCTGGACGTTTTAACCCGCCTGGCCGCGCTGACATCCGTGGCAGTTTTAGCCTGCCTGGCCGTTTTATCTCGTCCTGCAATTTTAGATCGCTTGGCCGTTTTCACTCGCCTGGCCGTTCGAATCCGCCTGGCCGATCAAACCCGCCTAGCCGTTGTAACCCGCCCGCCCTGTTGTTCTAGCCCGCCTCGCCGTGTCAACCCGCCTGGCCGTTTTAACCCGCCTGGTCGTTTTCACTCGTCTCAGCCAGTCTAACCGTTTTAAGCCGCCTGGCCGTCTGAACCCGCCTGACCGTTCTAACTCGCCTGGCCGCTTTGACCTGCTTGGCCGTTTTACCCCGCCTGGCCGCTTCCTCCCGCTGGGCGAATCTTGGGGCCATCTTGGGCAGTCTGGGGAGACTCGCGGGCCTTCGTCGGGCCCTCTGGAGCCGTCTTGGAATATGTTTGAGAACCTCGCGGGCCGTCTTGAAGCGATACCAAGACGACCTCGACGACATATCATTTGTTTGAGGACGTCCCTGGCGGCATCGGCATTTCGGACAGGAGCGATACCAAGACGATGCCGTCAGCATCTCGTTGTTTGAGGATGTCCCTACCGAAGTCGCAATGTTTAGCAAGAGCGATGACAGACGAGGCGAGGCGAGCGCGCGAGTTCGGTCCGGCGGGACCGGCCCTCATAGGGCGGCGCGGGGGGGCTGGAGCCCTCAGGAGACGTGTTGGGGGCAGGAATCGGAGCCGGAGCCGGAGTCGGAGAGATGGATGGGAACCGGAGTCGGAAAGGTGTGAACAGGAGTCGGAGAAACGACCAGAGTGGGCAGTACACGTAACGCTGGAGCCGGGGAACCAGTCGGGGAGCGATGACAAGAAGACGTCGACAACATCTCAGTGTTGTGAGGAGGTCCCTGGCAAAATCGCCATGATGGGCAAGAGCGATGTCGACAACATCTCACTCGTGTGAGGATATCCCTGGAGAAGTCGCCATTTGGGGCAAGACCGAGACCAAGCCGACGTCGACAACATTTCATGTTGTCAGGATGTCCCGGGCGAAGTCGCCACTCTCGTGGTGTAAGGATGTCCCTGGCGAGATGGCCATTGCTTGGGCGGATGTAGGGCGTCTTAGGAGCCAGCTTGTTGGGCCATTGTTGGGCCGTCTCGAAGCCGTCCGAGAGCGGTCCCAAGACATCTTCGCTGTTTGAGGATACCCCGAGCGAGATCGCCGTTTTGGCCACCAGATCCCTGGGCCTCCGCATGCCAACCCCCTCGAAAAGGGCCCAGGGGCACACAAATAAGCAGACACAAATCTTAGGATGCCCCATCTACTGTCCAAATGCATAGATGCATATGTATACACAAGACCGCATGGGCGCTTCGCGCCATGCGCTTTGGTCCTTCAAGTGTGGCATGCAGGCAGGAAGGCAATGGGGTGAAACGGAACATTTAGCGACAACTCCATGCTGTCTTTTCTGGTACTGTCGTTGTAATAATGTTATTCGTTATCATTCCCTCGTGGTTCCTCTCCTCTTCCTCATATTCGCCCTACCATGCGAATTCGCCACCATCCGCAGTTCTTTTTGTGGAGGCTCATGCTAGGAGAGCCTCTTGCAAGTCTGACGAAAGTTTTTAAGGCTTTGTCGGGGCCTTCTGGAAGCCCCCTGAGTTCCTTCTGGGGGGCAAGCGGGGGCTTCCCCGGGCCACCCTGCTTCCAACCGCGGTCCCCCTGAACGACTGGGTCACGATTTGGAATGATTCGGGAGGCGTCTTGGGGCCATCTTGGGCCGTCATGGAGCTCTCTTCGCGGTATCTTGGGGCCCTGTTGGGCCGACTTGGGGCTCCTCTGGGACTGCCTGGAAGCCCTCTTGGTTACATTTGGGGCGATGCTTTGGCCTCCTGGGCAGTCTCGGACCCCCAGAAGATCGAAGAACAGGACAAAATGTTGTTTTGCGTTTCGAGTGCCCTTTGAATCGTCTTCGGGCGTCTGGTGGGTGTTTGTGGCCTCTGTGGGCTCTCGCGGGGCCGTCCAGCCGCCCTCCTGACCGATTGGGGCCTGTTGCGCAGGCCCAGCAGGGGCTTCAGGAGCCCTGGAAAGCACAGGGGACCGTCTGCAAGGGAGTCCAGGGTGCCCCCGGGGCAAAGGATCCAGAGGGGTCACGTTTAGGGTGGGGGTGTCGCAGAGTCCCAGATTATGAAAATATAGAAAAGGGAATATGGAATATGTATGTATATGTATGAATATGTATATATGTGCATGTATGTACGTATGTGTGTATTCTCGATGTTTGTCTGCCCCCCCACTTCCCATATGTTCCCATCTTTCCCTTGGATCGGTGATTATTTGTGTCTAGGTCCGTTTTTCTTTCCTGGCCCTCACGCTCCCCCGGGCTCCACTCCTTCCGGCCGCCGGCTTGCACGCCGTGCGCGCTTCCCGTCATGCACCGACTCTCTGGCCCCAGGAGTGGGCCAGAGGCCAGGATCGGCGTGAGTGCGCACAGAGCCCTCCGAGAAACATCAGAGGCTGGGGTGAGCTCGCAGTGAAACAGAAGGGGGGAGGGCGAGGGGGGAGGAGGAGGAGGAGGAGGAGGAGGAGGAGGAGGAGGATAGGAGGAGGAGGAGAGGAGGAGGAGGAGGAGGAGGAGGAGGAGGAGGAGGAGGGGAGCCCCCCTCCTCCGGGAGGTCGGCCTCGGCTTCGTGCTCGGGGACCGCGCGCGCGGGCGGGGCGAGACCCGGCTCCGTGGCTCCCCTCCCAGGGGGGTGGACCGGCGGTGGCTCGGGCGTGTCCCGCCGGCGTCCCGCCGGCGTCCCGCGGCGCGGTGTCCTCCAGAGAAAGATGGTTGTTGGAGGAGGAGGAGGAGGAGGAGGAGGAGGAGGAGGAGGTCTCTGGAGGTCACCTCCTCCTCCTCCTCCTCCTCCAACAACCATCTTTCTCTGGAGGTCTCCAGCCGGCGTCCCGTGGCGCGGTGTCCTGGGGTGTCCCGTGGTGTCCCATTAGGGAGCCCACAAACGACGTAGGCGCCCAGCTGTGTACACGAGCACGGCCCCTCGATTCGCGAGACCGGCCGCGTTCTACGAGCATTTGCGCAGTGCGTGCTCTCGAAACCAGCGTGGATTCATGTACATGTACGTCCTTCTTTCGCTCCTGACCCATGGTGTCCCGTTGAGGCCGCTTGCGAGATCGATCGTGAGATCGAGAGACCGATCGAGAGTGAGACCGACGGTAAGGTCGACTGTGAGATCGATGGATAGCGAGATCGATAGATAGAGGGCGATCGATGGTGAGATCGATAGGTAGGTATAGAGTGAGCTCGATAGACAGATGGCCAAGTAGGTGCTTCGTGGTGCCCAACTGGATTCCACCGAATCCGATCCGACCCCAATTGCATGCCGCAAGCTGAATCCCCCCCACAACTTCCTCATCACCCCACAGGTCGTCGTAGAGGTACACTTCGGCGCGGCTTCAGGCTGCCCTGGGCCCCCCCTCTCTGCCGCGCGGAGCGCGCCAGGGGCGGCGCCAGAGGCGTCGCTGGGAGGGCCCAGCGCAGATCCGAGAACATCTGCGCGGACCTCCGAAAATCTACCTGGGCCGCCTCACCTGGCGCACCGCGCCCCACGACGCGCGGCGCGCGCTCCTCCATCCTCGCGCCCCTGGGGGGCGACCCGGCCCATGCTCGTGCAGATCGTTTCTCGCTCGACCCGAGGCCCCCGCCTTGGCTGTGCCCCGTGCGAGTCGACTGCATGCCAGAAGTGGCCCTGGGCAAGGGTGACCTCTGCTGCGCGGCTCTCGGGGGGGGGCGCGAGGGGGGCCAAACTTTGGTGGCAACTCATGGGGGCCTTCCAGACAGGGCAGCTTTTAATACATAGGATTTGTTTAGAAAATAAGATTTTTAATTCATGATTCATTTAGTCATCGTTGTTTTTAGTACTCAATCCCTGCATGTTCAATACATGATCCGCACGCGGAGCATGTATAAAAAACGGCACTGTACCATCTTGTCGGCTCTTGCGAATTGGAACAAATCACGCCAGTCGACGCTTCATCGACGCTGGCTCGACGCCAATCTGCGCCCACCGAGGCTAAATCGTCGCTGCCTCATCGACTCTCCGAGACGCCAATCGACGCTACTCGACGCTGGAGACGAGATTCAGAGGGCACACCAGGCTCCCAATGACATGCTGCCGAACCAAGCCAAGCGCGCCAGCCGCTGCCATCGCTGCGCGCTCCGCGCTCGGGGGGCCCGCACTGGGCCCGCACCAGGGGTCGCTCCGGCGAGAGGCCACTCCCCTGCGTGCAGCCGACCCCTGCGAGGCCGCACGGGGCCCGGGGCGCCCCGGCCCGCACCGCTGTGGTCGCGGGCCCGCGGGCGCCGCGGCCGAATTCCTGCTGGGGCTGACCGCCCCCTGCGGGCGGCGCCGCGGGGAAAGCGGAGTGCTCTGCGCGGCGGCGCGTGTCGCTGGGCCGTCCCCTGGCGCAGGCCCGCTGTAGTCGACGACGAGGACGACGACGACGACGACGACGACGACGACGACGACGACGACGACGACGACGACGACGGCGACGGCGACGGCGACGGCGACGGCGACGGCGACGGCGACGGCGACGGCGACGACGACGACCATCCTTCTCCGCCGTGCGCACAAGCCTTTGCGACGGAGGCCACGGATGGTGGGCAAGTCGTGCCCGCCTGCTGGGGCTCACGCCCTCGACGCCGCTCTTCTGAAGTTGAGCCGGCAGGGCTGAGCCGGCGCCACCACCATGTCGTACACGGGCTTCGTCACCCCGTCCACGGTCTCCACCTCGTACCGCTGCAGCATGTGCGAGATCGCGCACGCCACCTGGAGGTAGCCGAACTCCTGCCCCTTGCAGAGCCGCCGGCCCCCACCGAAGGGGATGAACTGGTACTCCCTGGGCGGGCAGATCTCGCTTTGGCCCCCGCTCGTCTTGAGGAAGCGCCAGGGCTTGAACTCCGCCGCCTGAGGGTAGATCTCCTCGAGCATGTTGCCGACGTTCGGCGACACGGCGACTACGGAGCCCCGGGGAATGCTTTTCCCCTTGAACTTGATGTCGGCCTCGACCGTCCTCATCAGCAGCATGAGCGGCGGGTGCATCCTCAACACCTCCATGATCACGCTCTTCAATTTCTTCATCCTCTTGTAGGCCGAGTACGTGAACTTACCACCCTCGAGGACCTCCTGCTGCTCCTCCCGCAGCTCCCGCGCGAGGCCTGGCCGCGACATGACCTCCAGTGCGGTCCAGGCCGTCGTGATGGAGCTGTTGTGCATCCCCCCGAAGAACGCGGCGATCAGGAAACCGACTATCTCCTCGTCCGAGATGGTGCGCCCGTCGGGATAGGTTGAGGTCATCACGCTCCACAGGAAGTCCGACTCCGTGTCCACCGCACCGCTCGCCAGCTTTGCCCGCCGCTGTTTGAGGATCGGAGCGACGAAGGCGGACATCTCCCGGCGCGCGGCGTCCCTGTTCCAGTGCCTCGTGCAGGGGAAGTGCGGCATGAAGACCGAGAGTGGCAGCATGCCCTGCTCGAGCGTGTGCAGGAGGTGGCTCACGGAGTGGCCTCCGTGGTGATTCGAGTGCAACATCTCCCTCATCTCCGTGCCCATCAGGCAGCGGACCGCGGTCCGCGTCATCAGCTCCGTCATGGAGTCCCTGACATCAACGGTGCCCGCAGCGCCCCACTCCTCGTCGAAAAACTGCGACACCTCGTCGTCGAGCGTGCCGCAGTAGCCCGCAAGGCAGCTCTCAGTCAGCCGCTCGCGTATGAATCTGAGCTGGGCCATGCGGGTGTGGTAATCCGCGTCGTAGAGCACCTTGGGCCCGAAGATCGGGATCATGAAGGAGTACATCTTGGCCTGGTCGAGGTACTTGTCGCTCGTGAAGAAGAACTCCTGCCCCTTCTCCCCGACAAGGAACACGAACTCCTTAGCGAGCATGTTTACCTTGAAGATCTCCCCGTGTTTCTGGTACCCCAGCCTGATGAGCTCCAGGGGGTCCTTCAGAAACTGCACAAGGCCTCCGAGAACGGGCAAGCGGGTCGTGTACGTGGGCGGCGCATCCCGAGTCTTCAGCCACCTCCTGAGGGCGTAACCGCCCACGACGATAGCGGTGATGCCCGCCGGGACGGCAACCGCGAGGCCGCCTGCGATGGAGCTGCTGGACTCCGTCCTCCCCCTCTGAAGTCCGAACCCCCTCTTCCGACCCTCCCCCCAACCCTCCTCTTACCCTCCCTCCCCCTACCCTCCTCCTCCTCCTCCTCCTCCTCCTCCTCCTCTTCCTCCTCCTCCTCCTCCTCCTTCTTCCGCCTCCTCCTCCTTTTCCTTCTTACCACATCCTCCTCCTCCTCCTCCTCCTCCTCCTCCCCCTCCCCCTACCCTCCTCCTCCTCCTCCTCCTCCTCCTCCTCCTCCTCCTCCTCCTCTTCCTCCTCCTCTTATCATTATTAGTATTATTATTTGTATCAGTATTATCATTGTTACTATCAGTATTACGAAAAAAAAACTAGTATTAGTGGCCTTAGTATTCATATTATTATTACTCTTATTCTTCTCATTAATAGTATTAGTAGCATTAGTACTATTATTGTAAGTATTATGAGTCTTATTCTTGATAATATTAGTAATAGTAATATAATTCGTGTTATTCGTCTTATCCTGATTGGTATTATTATTGTTATTAGCATTCCTTCTCCTCCTCCTCCTCCGCCTCCGCCTCCGCCTCCTCCTCTTCCTCCGTCTCCTCCTCCGTCTCTTTCTCATCCTCCTCATCCTCCTATTCGTCACCCCCTCCTCCTTGCCTCCCTCCCCCCTCATCCCTCATCACTTGCTCGCTCCTCTTATCCTTCCTTCCTCATGCCCTCCCTGCCTCTTCCTCCTTCTACTCCCCCTCCGCCTCCATCATCCTCCTCTTCCTCCAGTTCCCTCCTCCCCCTCCCTCCCTTCCTCCATCCCTCTCCTCTCTCCCTCATCAAAACGAAGCGAAGGAGGCCGCTTGCGATGGGGCTGCTGGACTCCGTCCTGACCATGTGGGGCCGTCGGAGGCGGAGGCGCACGAGGTGCTGTCTATCCAAGGATGAAGGGGGGGGCAGGCTATGACCTGTTCCCTCGGCACCAAGCCTCGAGCCGCGGCTGCTTGACTGCGAGACCATCTCTCTTCCTTACTAGCGCCACCTCGTCCTGCTCTCCCCCTCCCCTCCCCCTCCTCCTCCCGCTCACTCCTCCCCTCCCCCTCCTCCTCCTCCTCCGCCTCCTCCTCCTCCTCCTCCTCCTCCTCCTCCTCCTCTTCTTCTTCTTCTTCTTCGTCTTATTATTCTTATTATTCTTAGTATTATTCTTCTTCGTCTTCTTCTTCTTCTTTTTCTTATTATTATTCTTATTATTATTCTTATTATTCTTCTTATGCTTCTTCTTCTTCTTCTTATTCTTCTTCTTCTTCTTCTTATTCCTCTTCCTCTTCTTATTATTCTCCTCCTTTTTCCTCTTCCTCCTCCTCCTCCTCCTCCGCCTCCTCCTCCTCCTCCTCCTCCTCCTCCTCCTCCTCTCCTCCTCCTCCTCCTCCTCCTCTCCTCCTCCTCCTCCTCCATCCTCCTCCATCCTCCTCCCCCCCCCTCCCTCCCCTCCTCCTCCTCCTCCTCCTCCTCCTCCTCCTCCTCCTTCCTCCTCCTTCCTCCTCCTCCTCCTCCTCCTCCTCCTCCTCCTCTCCTCCTCCTCCTCCTCCTCCTCCTCCTCCTCCTCCTCCCCCCTCCTCCCCCCCATGCCTCCTCCTCCTCCTCCTCCTCCTCCTCCTCCTCCTCATCCTTCCTCCTCCTCCTCTTACCTCCTCATCCTCCTACTCCTCCTCCTCCTCCTCCTTCCGCCTCCTCCTCCTCCGCCTCATGTTCCTTCTTACCACAGTGCGGTTACCAACGAACTCCTCTTCCTCCTCCTCATCCTGCTCCTCCTGTTCCTTCTCCGTTTCCTCCTCCTCCTCCACCTCCTCCTCCTCCTTTTACCTTCCTCTTCCTCCTCCTCCTCCTCCTCATCCTCCTCCTCCTCCTCCTCCTCCTCCTCCTCCTCCTCATCATCATCATCATCATCATCGCAGCTCCCCTGTCCTCCTGCTACTGCCGTTCCGCATCCTCCCCCTCATCGTACAATTCTTCGTCGCCCCTCTGCTCCCAGTCCTCGTCGTCGTCGCCCTCCTCCTGCAGCAACATCCACCATTTTGAGGCGGATCGCTTCGGTTCCCTGGTAGCGTCTCGCTTCAGGGCTCGAACGAGGCAAGCACGCAACAAACTAGAATCTCTCCCATTGGGGGGGGGTCCTGGCAGCTGCATGCGCGGCGCCGCCGCAGCGATGGGGAACGAAAT